ATTGATGCATGTGGTAATCCCAGAATGAATGAATCTCCCCTGGCTTGGCTCCGCTGAGCTATATTTTCCAACCAGAAACACTTCAGGATTATTTGACTTATTGTTTTCCATTGTCTCAAATTTGATGGGAGCTGTTATGTTCTACTGTTCGTGTTGAGCCTGCTCTGGCTGCAGGGCCTTACAGTACATGTAAGATGATCTGCTCAGGGTGGATTCCTTCAGAACTCTTCACTCAGCAGTCCTGTTGCAGCGGCATGCCAAGCCCACATGAGCCATATTCAGCTTTTTAGGAATGTGGATCTTGGGCCGGCACTGGCCTCGGAAGCTTTGTGGGTGTAAGAGTGAGATTGGAGGGGAAAGGGGATGTCTGTGTACAATTAGCCCGAACAAAGCTATCGTTGTACAGAGTGAGCTCTCACGAGGAGTGAGGACCTTTGGCTGAAAAGGAGGAAAGGCTTTTCTTTATATCTGTCTAATGCAAGACCCCAGGAAGAGCAATGGCTGTTGAAGCAAATATTCATATTGAAAAAACTATGGTACTACATTTCCTTTCTATTCCATGATATCATTTGGGGCCAAAAAATACTTATTCCCATTGACTTACGTTAGGAAACAGACGGCTGTAAATCAGCGGATAATTTTTTTTAAAAGAGGACATATTATACAAATGTTCAGGTTCATATTTGTATTTAGTGTCTCTGCTGTGACATGTCTCCATGCTTTAATGTTCAAAAAGCTCTTTATTTCTCTCATACTGCCTGTGCTGCAGCACCTCTTTTCACCCTCTGTCTGAAACCAGAGCTCAGTCTGCTCTGATTGGTTAGCTAGCCGGCTCTGTTGTGATTGGTCAACCGCTTAGAGATTTGTCGGGAATGTCCTGACCTTTAGCATATCATGAAACTCCCTCTGGAGGGAACTCTGGGATTTTGGCCTTTGCAGACCATTTACATGCACAAAAAACCTTCATAACGTACCACATGAAAGGGAAAACCCCCAAAAGTATAATAGGGCCTCTTTAAGTGAATAAACTACCCAGTATAAACACTTATATAGTATCAGGGATGCAAACTTGTCACCTTTCGGCGAAATTCGCCGTTTTGAATCCAAAATAGGTCATTTGTGTGATTCATGTAGATCTGCAATAAAAATATTTTTGGGGTATTGGGGGGGGTCTGGGACCCAGAGTAATCTGCGGCCGCGAGCTGTTATGTGCCATCATGACACGCATGGTGTTCTTTTTTTATATAATGAAGCGCGAGCTGTGTGCTCGAGTCTTCCTGCCTGTCGGCTCTGCTCATGGATGTATAATAAGGCTCTGCTGCTCCGGGATGAGGGTCTAACTTCAGCAGCTACATTACCTACGGGTGCGTTCGTTAATATTAACTGTGCGGTCCGGAGTCACTGTGGCACAGACTGGACCGCTCGTGAACAGCTGTGAGAACGGGCCGTTCAGGTGTTCAGAGCAGAGCTCCCTGTCGGAGCGGCAGAGCGTGATGTGCACTGAAAGTTTTTCTGTCGCAATATTATCGTTGAGCTAGCTAACTAGCATACATTGTCACTATCTGTTAACGTTAGCTTTAGCCTTCGTTTTCTAATAGTTTTTTTCATAGGCTATAAACGGAGGTGGTATAAGTATAGATCGTGTACTTGAGTAAAAGTAGAAGTACTCGGATCTTGTACTAGAGTAAAAGTAGAAGTACTCAGATCTTGTACTTGAGTAAAAGTAGAAGTACTCAGATCTTGCACTAGAGTAAAAGTAGAAGTACTCAGATCTTGTACTTGAGTAAAAGTAGATCGTACTCAGATCTTGTACTTGAGTAAAAGTAGAAGTACTCAGATCTTGCACTAGAGTAAAAGTAGAAGTACTCAGATCTTGTACTAGAGTAAAAGTAGATCGTACTCAGATCTTGTACTTGAGTAAAAGTAGAAGTACTCAGATCTTGTACTTGATTAAAAGTAGAAGTACTCAGATCTTGTACTTGAGTAAAAGTATAAGTACTCAGGTCTTATACTTGAGTAAAAGTATAAGTACTCAGGTCTTGTATTTGAGTAAAAGTAGAAGTACCAGAGTGTAGGAATACTCTGTTTCAGTAAAAGTCCTGCATTCAAAATGTTCCTCAAGTGAAAGTAGAAAAGTATTCTCATCAAAATATAGTTAAAGTAGCAACAGCAAAAGTAGTCATTGTGCAGATTGGTCCATTTCAGAATAATATATATGATATGTTTTATAATGATTGATAGAGATGTCCCGATCCGATCGGGGATCGGAGCCGATCACGTGATTTTCAAAAGATCGGAATCGGGAGAAAAAAATCGGGGATAGGGATTTAAAAAAAAAAAAAATGTATATAAAATATTTTTATTTTATTTAATGTTACAAAACAAAAATGACCATGTTCACGTCTTCAAGTCATCCTGAGGCCTTAGTTTTGGTTTAAAATTACACAACATCATGTATGTGTTGCTTTTTTTGGGCTTGTTTTCATAGACCAGAGGCCTGTACTACGAAGCTGGATTTTCGCTTAGCGAGCTAACTTCAGGGAAATCTCTGGCTTTCCGGTCCTACGACGCTGGTTCTCTTTTTAGCAGGCTAGATTTCCATGGTAACTTATGCTGAGCGGCAAACCTGCTCTGGAGCAGGTTAGGTGGCAGGCTAAGAGATCAACTCAGTGAAAGCACCGCCTGCTGACCAATCAGAGCTCAGTGTGCGGAGTTTAAAGCGATCAAGTCATATTACAGGATAGAGGAAATACAGAAAAACTGCCGTTGCAGGAAAGACGGCCGGCCAAAATCAACTGACTGTGAACGTGAAAATTAATAGAATATCCCCTCCCATCTTCAGAGCAATCTGACTATTATAATATTAGCGTTAAGAAAGCTTACTTAAATATCTGCCACGACATAAGTAACCGGATCAGAGTAACATTAAGTACAGTCCGCGGCACTGTGAGTGCAGACGTCGATGTGTCCCATTATCATTCATATCATATCACATCATAATGTATCATATATTTCCTTATTTGAGTCAGCTGAGCCGTATCTGGCCGTGCAACACTCACAGTGTCACATACTGTATGCAGAAGTATTATTTTAAGCAACACATTAAGTTGATGAAACACTCGAGTCAAATTCTCCTAATTAAAGTCAGATCCACTCGTGTCTTGGACGGGGCAGTGATTTCATAAACCTGTTAATGTACGCATTCAAACACTTTTTCTTTTACCAGCTGTATTCACCTTGCAGGTGCAGCTATGTGGCTTTTATCCTGGATAAAGTGTTTAAGACATGGATGTTTAAAGTTTAACTTCTTCATATTTGACTAATATTAAAGTTCACTTTTCATTCAGGAAGTATGACGCTGCGCTGTCAGTACGCTTGTCCATGTTTGAGATTGGTCGAATGCTCCAAATACCACCCCTTTCATGTGAACGCGCACCTAACTAGATAGGACACGGCTGGCTTGAGCGATCCACTTGATAACCAGCGTCGTAGTACAGTTTAGCCAGAGCGCGTATGTTTTGGATTGGGCCAACCGGCTAACTCCAACATATCCAGGTTAGGTTGAACCAGCTTCGTAGTACAGGCCTCAGGTTGCTTATTTCTCTCAAATCTGGCAACAGAGTGAGCAGGGCGCAGTGTCTAATAGTAGCAGTAAGCTAACAAGAGGCTACGTTCAGCTGGTGCCTCGGGAGTCGGGACAGAGAAAATGTCAGGAGTTTGGAAGTATTATAAAATTGAAAGCGAAGGCAGTGTAACAGCCAGATGCAATGTTTGCAAGGCGGAGGTTCCACGTGGTGGAAAGAACAGAGCTACGTTCAACACTACCTAATCTAATACGCCACCTGAGAAACAAACACCAACAACAACACGACGAGTACACAGCGGCCACTCAGGTAACGGCACTGAAACAACCGACACTTTCAGAGACTTTTAAAAGGAAAGAGAAACTGCCCCAGAACAGTGAAAAGGCCAAAAAAATAACAGCCAAGATAGCTGAATTCATCGCGTTGGATGACCAGCCGTTATCTGTTACCTTTTTTTTCTCTTAATGCATTGCATAAAGATCGGATCGGGAAAAATCGGTATCGGCAGATTGTCAAAATCAAATGATCGGAATCGGATCGGGAGCAAAAAAAGGTGATCGGGACATCCCTAATGATTGATCATTAAAGTGTTCTCAAAGCTGGTAAAGGTGCAGCTAGTTTGAATGACTTTGTATACTGCAGGGAAGCTTGTGAATTTACTCCAGGTGGAACTAAAGTCTGATTTAACACTTGATTATATTTCACATCATTCATCCAGATCTGTAAAGTAACTAAAGGTATTAAATACATGTAGTGGAGTAAAAGTACACCATGTACCTCTGAATTGTAGTGGAGTAGAATAACAAAGTAGCAAAACATTGAAATACTTAAATAAAGTACAAGTATCTCAAAATTGTACCCAAGTATAGTACTTGAGTTTATGAACTTAGTTACTTTACACCAGTGGCTATAAAGATAGAAAGACTAAGCCTTGAACAGAGGCATGAAAATACATTTTCAAAATGCTCAACAGTGCTGCCAACATTATAAACTGACTGCTACACAATTAAAATAAATGCTTTTATACATTTCTATTAGATGTGACTCTTTGGCGTTTCTGTTATTATTAACTGCTTTAGTTGTTCTGACTGCTAAAATCCTGTTATTCCTCATTTGAAAGCCGATATTCCGTGGGGTCGGGGGGCTCGGATCCTTGTCACCTTTTTCATACCTGATGAGTTTGCATCCCTGTAGTATACTACTACTGTATGTTGTAGTGTAAGAAACACAGAGACGGAATTGCAGAGGCAATATGGGTGGTCTGAAATATTTGAGTTTACCCCAGTGACCACACAACGTTAACTTTTCCAACCTCAAATTTACCCACAGAAATGTCAACAATCTTCTACATGGATGAGTGAGTCACTCTCATTCTGATCTGCACAGTTCGCTAACCAACCCATTCCGTCTCATCAGGTCCTCTACCCTGTCCTGCCGGGCCTTCTGGATTGCGACCCATTCAGGGAAAGTCCTGACCTGCAGGTGCCTGGCGAGAGTGCTCCTGTCTCGGGTAGCGGTGCCCTGCAGGTCCCTGGTGAGATCCAGCATCTTGTGGATGTTCTGAGCGACACCTGGAGACTGCTGTGTGACTGTCAGCTCCACCCAGAGATCTCCTCACAGCTGATTGGCTACCTCTTCTACTTCATCAACGCATCCCTCTTCAACTCACTCATGGAGAGAGGTACCAGTTCACAAAGAGTATGCAGGTTTACAACTACAACTAGTTTTTTTTTAATAATAATAATAGTTATTTTCTGTAGAATTGCACCATTCTGTATTCTTCTTGCAATCCACCCCCATGAGAGGTGTAACAAAGATGAATGTCTAAACATCTTTTGACATCCCAAACCTGGCTCTAAACTCCCTAGAGACATCAATCTTTAAAAGCTTGTAGCAAACATTTAAAGGGACATTTTACTCAAACAAGAGGCAGTAGTGGTACTACTTTCAGTTGTTGAATACAATGTTTTATATAGTATGCTAGAAAGAGCGTTTGTAACAAAGTCATAAAAAATACAATATTTTGTCATTGTTCATGGTTACCACACACACACACACACACACACACACACACACACACACATACACACACACACACACACACACACACACACACACAATACTTGTATTTCGAGTAAGAATTCAATGTTGATTTTGTTCCTGTCATTAGATTTATTGACAACAAGAATAATAAAGAATTAAGTCAGACTAATGCTTAATTCTTAATGTTTTTGCTGTGGCAGTTAAACAAAGGATGTGTAACCTGTCAACAAGGCAGATTTCAGATTTGTTATGAATACAGATTGTCTAGAATAATGGGTAATACAAGACAATTTACCAACATGACTTCCAGGGTCAACAGCAGAGATGAAAGACTAGAATGTGTTGCTGTAGACCTAAAAGCTGAGAAACCACGTCAATGAACAAAGAATGATTTAAAGTTGATTTCCTCCTGATGTGTACACAGGCTCTGAGCCAGGTTTCTACCACTGGTCCAGGGGCGTTCGCATGCGGGCCAATCTGGACTTTCTCCTGGAATGGGCTCATACAGCTGGACTGGGGGAAATCGCCTTGGAGCAAACACACACACTCGCATCAGCTATCAATCTGCTGGCTTCACCTAGAAAGAATTTACTGCAGGTAAAACATACACACACTTTACATTCAGCTGAGTTGGGTTCATCCTACTATAAATAATCAGCAGAGACATAACAGGCTGAACATTTAGAGATGTGAATTCTGCAGAGGGGTTGAAATATGATATTGCTTTCAGATCTAAAGTTTCTGTACAATGTTAAATACAGAAAAGTCAAAAACTCAGATCATATGCCTTATCTGGACTATGTGGGTATAGTTTTATTAGTTTAGACTGTATAAATAAATCTCTATTGTATTTATACAGTCTTTGGTAACAACCCAGCACTTCTTATAAATAAACCCTAAAGAAATGATGTTAATAATCTTGTTATTCTTTTAAAAAAAAACAATGTACATGATACATTTAATAAGATATATTTTTTAATGGAATGTACAGCAAGGTTTTTTACTGCTATGTACCATGTGGTAATATTCTGTGGGTAATCCACAACCATAACAATCTCATGTTTGAGGTCGGCGTGCGCAATTCCCACCCTCCTCAGTTGAAACAGGGCTGTGGTATTTTAGAATACATTTCATGAAAGCATGCAGGCATTGATCCAGGAGCTCAAAGTTTATTCAGATATGGTCCTTGTCAGAGACCTTATGTCTGTGTGAAGGAGAACAGAGAGAGAGAGAACACAGAACAATATGTATAGCCCGTGTTGTGGGGACATACATATGTTAACACTGTCACATGTGGGGACTCGCCTTCCTTTTGGGAAAATTAAAATGAATCATTACATTCTAGGTTGAATACTTGGTTTATGGATAGGTTTAGGTTTCGGTATCTAGTGGTTATGGTTTGTCAGGGTTAGGTTTAGGGTTAGATGTTAATTCCCCTTAAGTGATGTTGTATTTGTGTGTGTAGACATCTTGGGTGTCTTTGCGCTCTGAATACCCCGCCCTGAGTCCGGCCCAACTGCACCACCTCCTGAGTCTCTACGGCCCGGCATCTCCCTGCAGACACAGCTGGACTCCCTCTGTTCAGGACCAGGCTGCAGCACACCAAACTGGTAAGAGGTCAAAAACATGACAATATGATAATCCACAAGATCACATGAGTTTTTCCCCTAATCTTTTGTTAATTTAATGTCATGTTTTCCTCAGCTGATATACTGGAGAGTTTTGACACCCACCACCCTCTGGTGCTGCCTGATGGGGGTTACCAGTTTGAGCTGGGCGGACAGGTAACAGATTCAGCTGTGAGGGAACAGCTGGACAAGCTCAAAGAGTTCATGTCTAGCCTTTCTAACTCAAAGTCCAATCAGGCCCCAGCTACCAAGGAACAAGAGGTAAAACATTAATATTGTTGGATTTTGAATAACTATACTGAAGAATATAAATAATACTAATAGGGAGGTAGAGTGATTGTCAGCTATTCGGGGGGACCGACTTTCAAAGTATTATTGGGCATGATACAGTCTCCAACACTATATTGCTCCCAATGGTATTGCCAACGGTGTGTGACTGTGCGCCTTGAGACTGTTCGCAATACTGTAAAAGTGTTTTATACAAATGCAGTCTATTTTTCTCAGGAAAAATTGGTAATATGATTAATGTAAGATTGACATAAAGGCTGTACTTTGGACAAAACTCATGACATCACAAATGTATTAGACTTTAAACAGCTCCCTCTGGTGACAAAAAAGGTTCATTACAACTTCACATGCATTAGTACTGCCCCAGACCTGCAAGCACAATTGTCATGGGCGGCGCCAGTGGCGTCGCCTGGCCTGGGCATCCGGGGCTTTAGCCCCGAATGTTTTTTCTGTAGCCCCGGACAATTCTCCCTCAATAATATAATACATTAACCGTGCTTTACGTGAACCTCATCATGACACAAGAGAGGACGGCAGCACTGTAATTTCCCGTGTTCAGTGAATGCAACAGAGGCATGACACCAGACCAATCAGAGAGTTGCATGGAAATAAACGTGTGCTTGTGTCATTGAAGCTCGGCTCTGTGTGTGTGTGTGTGGCAATAGCGCATTTAGTGTGATAGAGAGAGAGAGAGAGGGAGAGAGGGGGAGAGAGGGACCGGTGTCAGCATGGACCGTGTTGTTAGCATCTGGTTAGCTAGCTGCGCTAACGGACATAAGGAGCTGTTTGTTCCACAAGAAGCTGGAGGAGAGTCCTCTCCTCTCAGACTGAGAGACTCAGGTGAGCTAAAGGACTGTCTGAGTGTTTAGATACTTAACTTTAGTCTAAGTTATCTCAGTGGGTCTCAAACGGTTTGGTCACAAATTATTCAAAAGATTATTTCCGCGGCACACCTCGGCACACCTTCATATGATCATTATAGTTATTAAAAAAAAGAGAATAAAGGAAAAAAAGTTATGAAATACTATATGGCAGTAAAACAAGATTAGAGTTTAAAAGAGGAGTGATTTGTAAAATATCCATAAAGAAAAAGTACATCTGTTTACAGTTCTGCTTCATATGGGTGTTGAGAGAGGTATCCATAGATCTCTTCATTTTGCTCTCAAAGTGCACCAGATTGATGCATTTAACTTATAATATTTAAAAAAAAATCTTCCCAGGGGAGCATCCCCCCGGACCCCCCTAGAGGAGGTGAGCCCCCCACTCATAAAAAATACCACTTTACCCCTGCCTATATGCCTGAGCTGATTATCGAGCCTTCATTGTAACAGTCGCGGGTGTATTGTGTGTGTACGTGTGGGGAGTGTTGAAGTAAAAAATGCCACTGTAGTGCCGCCGCCACTGTGGGCTAAGCCCCGAATGTTTTCAGGTCCAGGCGACGCCAGGATTTTTTTGCTGCAGTAGCTTAGCAGTTGCTATATGACAGCACGGCGTTGCTAGTTAATTTTCAAAATAAATAAACAAACAATACCAGTGGGCCAAGCACGAGCCTGTTCATATTGTAGCGTTCACCGCTATTCCAGATCACAGACCACGAGCCTTCAATGTCGAAAACGTTCTCTTTATTTTATGGTATTGACGGCCACAGCCACGCCTTACAGAGCCAATCAATAGTATAACACTCATTATGACTTTTCCCCACACTCGAACACAACTCCTACCGTCTCGTACTCCCTACACACACACACCGGAAAACGCACACACACACCTGGAAGGGGCGGTCTCTCCCTAACTCCCGCCAACAACATTGCCTAAATAACTTTACAAATGTACTAAACTGTGCACATCTGATAACTGAAATAACTATTAACTTGGACACGCTACAATATTATCATTAATATTTACATTAAAAGATTCCTTTGACACTTATAACATTACTTTGCAACACAACCAAAATAAGTTTGTAAAAGCAGAATTTGAACACTGTTTCTGTGCTCCTACAATATTTGTGTATAATACCATTACACCCTAAGCGTACACAATAGCGATCGTTCACTGTTTCAACTGGCATGCTGTGGCATTTAACCTCATCACCACACCGCAAACAGACAGACACACACACACACAAACACACACACACACAAACACACACACACACAAACACACACACACACACACACATACACACACACACACACACACACACACACACACACACACACACACACACACACACACACACACACACACACACACAGGGCTCCGTTGGAGATCGCGGCCGTTTACGCTGACTTGTGAGAAATCTTTCCATTTTCGATCTGTGTTCACATACTGAGAATTATAACAACATTAGCCAAGTAACAGTTCGCGCTTTAACTTACAATGACCCCTGGTAGATCTCGCGAGAGTGTGTATAAATATATATAGATACATTTTCATAACAAAACAATGGGGTTGCTAAGCCGTTACTAGGCCAATTGTTGGAGTTGCTATAGCAACTCCAAGCTACCCCCTGGCGCCGCCCCTGACAATTGTATGCATAAAATTGGTTGCATTCCCCTTTAAGTTGGCCAATTCTACAAATTGGTTTTCTATTTGATCTAAACCAGGGTTTAGTGTTGGGTACTTTTTCAAGAACTGCTAACTTGAACAACTCCCCACTCAACACCACCCGTCAGTAGGTTCGCAAAAATACATCCGCCAAGTCTGAAGTCCTGAAATGGTTGTCAAGATACTCAAAGGACAGACAGACAGAGACTACTTCGACCCTAGTAAGATTGTTGTATTTGTCATTCAGATGGATATCCTTCCAAAAGCCAGTCTGGAAACCTTGGATGCATCTTCAGTTGAGGCTATTGTCTTTGACCACCCTTCTACCACCTTTGGTGCCTTACCTCCATCACCTCCATCCCCTCCCTCACCGTCATCCACGCAATACCTGGATGAGTTCATCTCCTCAGGTGCCATCCTTTTGTCCCAGAAGCTCAGAAATCTGGAGCTGCAGACTGGTGGAAGCAGTGAGACAAGGTCAGCTCTGGAAACATCCTGTCTCCTCACCCCGCCCAACACCCCCCACATCGTAGATCGTGTTCATTTGGTGAGGTCACACCAGGAAAGATGGATGAATGGGGAAAGTGAGAAACTTCTCACCTCGGATGTAGATGCACATGATGAAGGTACAGCTACATCATCGTTCATGATTGTCTCCTGTTTGTCAGCAGTAACAAAAAACTAAACATGTTTTATTTTCTCCTTAGGTGGATTGGTGTTTGAATGTCTGTCTGCTCTTAAAGTAGACCGTTTTAATTCAGATTGCCCCAGGATGGAGAGATGTGTTGAACTGAAAGAAGAAATGGAGGAGGATGACCATTATGACGACAATAATGATGAGGTTTTTAGCTTGGAGCTGGAGCGAGGGGAAAGAGGACTCGGTCTTGCTCTGGTTGACACAAGGGTGACTGAAAGAGATGTAGACCAACATACAAAACAGTAGCCCATTTTCCTGCTTTTTTATGACACTTTGCATTTTCCTTCCAGGACACGCCCTTGAAGGTGAAAGGCATCTTTATCCGTGCTGTAGTGCCAGACTCTCCTGCAGCACGCTGTCAGAAGCTGCTGCCAGGAGACAGGATCCTGGCTGTTAATGGAGTCAGTCTGCTTGGACTGGACTACCACAGGTAAGAAATATAAAAATCTGAGCAAACTCATATTTAAATATAAAATACAGGTTGTTGTCTTCTACACCTCTGTGTCTCTGTTGTATCTCTTTCAGTGGGAAGGATCTGATCCAGTCATCAGGGGACAGACTGAGGTTACTGCTGGCCAGATCTGACTGGATGACTAAGGCTGTACAGACTGAATGCTGACGGCCTTTTTTTATTGTTTCTTTTAACCAAGACTCCATCAGCGCACTTGAAGATAACTATAAGATCTTGCTCAACATTCAAGCTCAGGACATGTGCCGTAATATAAGTTTACTGTATGGGTGATGTAAAGATAAAAATGCACTATAAAATGAGTCATGTCCTGTCCTTGTATTTAGTACTAGTTTGTATTTGCTTAATGTAGTCTTGAAGCGTTTTCTTTTACATTGTAACATGATATATTGATGTCTATATTTGAGTTTGTGCTCAAGTGAATACAGAATATTGATTTCAGACTGCTTACGTTAACTTGAAATGTTTTATTAGTCATTGTCATCTTCATACATTCTCTATAAGGCAAAGTCATTTCATTGTCACTTTCAATTATTGGTATGACCAGGTCTGATATCTCATTTGTGTTGTTATAAACGTACATATACAAGTAAGGAGACCTGAGGCTCATCAAGTTTATTCTTTTATAATGCCAAGTAAAAGTTGATCTAAAGTTTTCTACATCAAATATCTAGAGTCTACTATCTAAGTCTGGTGGTAATGCTGTTAGCTTGAATGTAAAAATACACACTCCTCGTAAATCTATCATCAGTTTGGCCGTAACACAAAGAAGGTTAAGACCTCTAGGTCAGTCAAGCACAATCGAAATCTTAAGAAGTGAATTGACAAATGAAGAGGTGAGAAAGTTGCTCTGGCATAATATCAATGACACCAATCATCTACGAAACAATCAAATCTAATTAGAGAAGTTTAATGAAAGTTTGTCTTTCTGCACTTCTGCCTTGACCCCGGATGACTGGGGCTTTGAACACTGCCTAATGACAACCCAACGGACCCATCTGAAAAATTAGCTAGCTATAGCTAAAAAGCCCATCTTTTACAGTCACAGACAACCCAGTACATATATCTACACTGCAATTATCGATGAAGTATATTTCGAAAGACATGGGGTCTATTAACGAAAGTGTTAAAAAACAAAACAATGACGGCAGGCAGGGTTTTATTGGCATTATATTTAAACTATACCTTGGACACTACGTCACAGGAACGATGGGAAATAGCTATGTTTTAGCAGTGATAAACAACATTTCGAATTGTTTGATTTTTATAGAACCTTTTCTCTAACTGCCTGTAAAACTCAATAGTATGAAGCTGCAGCGTCGGAGGCTGCACTCTCAGGACCGCACTCCCAGGACCCTAGTGGTTTTGCAACATCGCCACCTAGCGGATTGGATGACCGCAAAAGTAGACATTGTAATGCTTGTTATTAACCATCTAAAAATGCATGAAAATCGCAAAAGTAGACATTTACATGCATGAAAATATGTTTTTATTATTATTATTATATTTATTATTGTTTATTTTATTTATTTTTTACAACAACAATTTGTTGTTAATATCAAATGTATTTTGTATGTCAGATGTAAAAAGATAGTCTTTTATATTTGTCTTATCAAATTTGACATACAACGTAAATATATATATATTGTAGTAATAATGATATAATCTATTTATAATTGTAAATGTATATTGTATGTAGACATACATTTATTATATATATTTTTTTATTGTATTACACGTTCAAAATAAATCAAATCAAATGTGTCTTTGAAGAGGTGCTAGATTACTGAAAAACAACTGTTAGTGTGTTTATGCACCAGGCTGCAAAAGATAAACAGATGACATTTAGCACGTGTTGCTTGTATTGCTGTCCAATTGAATACACCAGAATAGTTGTTAACTTTAAACAAACAACATGATTCACATTACTCACACTCTTACTGTAATTAGTGATTAAATCAACAATTAATGTAGGACACCTAGTTGGGCTTGCCAAAATCACGCTACAGTTTCATTAAACAAATAATCAAATATGCTAATGAAACTAATGCTTTTGCTAATAATGCTTTTACCGAAAGCTATAGCTAACGAATAATTGTTTTTAGTGCCTTTAATACTGTTAGAAGCTATCATAAGCTAACAGATGTTTGTTTGTATTGCCTTAAGACTATCATAGTTAATGTTAGCTAATCACACTTCATTTCAAGACACCGGAATTGTTATTTATGTTAAACAAATAAAACTTTAAAAGCACTTCACATTACTCACACTCTCTGCGTTGTCATTCATATTCAGGTCTCCTGCTCGCTAGGTGGCAGTGTCACGAAAAAATAGGGTCCTGGGAGTGCGGTACTGAGAGTGCGGTCCTGAGAGTACAGTCTCCGACGCTGCAGCTTCATGCTACTCGTAAAACTCTCTGTTGTTGAACTGCTGCACCAGGACTAATATCGTGCGAATGGAAAAAGATATCAGTGCTTGTGAATTATTTTGACTTGCTCTTGTCTCATCTGGCTCCCAACACATCACATAAATACAAAGCCACAGGAAATGTCTTCCTTTTCATTTTACATTTATTTTACAAATACAATAATAAAAACGTATCTTGAGTAGTGGTGCACACATTCAACACCTAACACTTACAACTCACCTGACCTGGGATACATTACATTACATTACATTACATTACATTACATGTTAGACGCTTTTATGATGAACAATAGTCTGGTCTATGTAGTAGATAGAGTTCGACATTTAAGTAAACACACTAATTTTCTTATTTGTTGGAGAGCCACGTTAATTACGTCTTGTATTATTTGCAATTTGCCTTTGAACTTTTGTTCCTACATTTTGTAAAGACTTTTGTTTTTGTACTTTTGCTGTCGAGTTGTTGCATTTGAGTCCCAGTCATTGTGTCACATTCTTTACGTTTTTCACCCTTTCCACTCTTACGGAAGTAAGACAAATAAATGTATGCAATGCAGAAGTGCCCAAGATTAGGTAAAGAATTAGGTCAATACTGTATGTAATAACAAACATATATGACATATTCACCATCTTTATATAAAATAAACGTAAATGCAAAGATGAGGATATGTAAAAGCAGGGCAGATGAATAGATTAAATGAAACTCAAAAAATACAAATACAAATATTGTAAAAATTAAGGAGGAGCAAAACATTCTGTGATTTAGTTACAAAATTTGAAGCAGAAACTTTTTATTGGAAATGAAATGTTTTATTAATCATTGTGATCTTCATCCATTCTCTATAAGGCAAGCAGTTTCATGTTGCTTTTAGGTTTTGGTATGTGTCTGATATCACATTTGCATTGTTACACATTAACATATTCAAGTAAGGTCACCTGAGGCTCATTGGGTTTATGTGTTACTAGTTCAAGTGAAGGTTGACTTAATTACAGATTTTTTACATCAAATATGCAGCCTGGTAATGCATGAAGCTTTAATGAAATACTACATGACTTATGGTAAATCAATAATCGGTTTGGCCATAACACAAACCAGCAAAGGTGAACACTTCTAGGTCACACAACAAAAACTCTGTTAAGGCAGTGTTATATTAACAAATCAAGAAGTTAGAGAGAGGGTTGCTCATGCCTAGTACTTAAAACGCATCATCTTTGATTAGACTCTGATCGTCTGTCTATGAAAATGATAAAACAGTTGAATCTAATAAGAGGACTTAAAGAAGGTTTGTTGGTCTTTCTCCAATTCTGCTGCCACAAACCTCATTAACCAAACAGAAGTTTTAAAGGAGAGGTGTCATGGCCATTTCCACTGATCATAATTCCATTGTTGAGGTGTACTAAAATAGATTTATATTGTGCATTTTTCCAAACTCACATTGGTTTCTCATACAGCATCTCTGTAAACTACTTGTATTCACTGAATTTCACTCTCTGCCTTTAACGGCTCGTTGTAGCTCCAAAAGCTCCAGCCCCCACCCTCCCTGTGAGCACAGTGTGCTCTGATTGGTCGGGACATTGTGAATCGCGCTGAGCTCCGTGGAGGTGTTGTTTCCTTGTTAGCGATACATAGCGAAACACAGCCAAACTCATCCTGAGCACACACAAAGTCACAGCCGAAGTAAAAACAATAAGTGTGGCTTGATATTGAGTAAGAAAAAGGTTGATAAACGCTGTGAGAATGGGTCTGCAGAGAGAATTTCGCCGCGATCCCAACTGTCTGTTATCAGCCTGCAGCCAGGGAGGGGAAATCAGCTGAGCTGCCTGCTCCCTGCACACAGATGTGTGTGTGAGGAAGTCCGTGGATTGGTCAATTTGGACCAATCAGCGGGGGCTTAACGTAACGGCTCCGCGGACGTAACGTAACGGCTCCACGGATTGGTCCATTTCGTTCCGGGTACGGCTTGACATCATGCCGTCCCGGAAGAATCAAATGGACAGTGACGTATCTCCAACGAGGCGTTTTGGGGAGGTATTTTCTGTGTTAGAGTTTTACTCGCTACAGGGTGTACTTTGAGGGTTTTGACTCTGCACACCGTTTACATGCATAAAAACCTTCATAACACACAAGGGGACGGGTAATAACCGGAAAAGCATGACACCTCTCCTTTAAGTGAAAATCAATTAGTTGAATTTGCCTTATTAGTTTCTGAGCATCATGGTATGCTGCAGGAGATAATGTTAAAGTATTCCCATTTAATCCCATACAAATGTATATTTGACGTCTTTCATTTTGTCTTTGTAAACAGCGTCAAAGTACGCTGCTTCTGCCGTGGTTAGCTGGTTTTTCCAGTCTCCAGCAATTCCTGAAACACAACATGGGAAAAAAAGGAAATCATTATTCAGTTGTAGAAATATGTGCACCTTTCTATCTTATTTTGAATAGACAAATATGTTGTTGCTATTTAGAAATACAGTATGTCAGTTTCTATGTGATGATTCACTTAATGGTCCTGATACCATCCACCAAAGATGACTCAGCACCAATGAATGCCCTACCCCAAAATACATGATATGACCATGACTAGATAGTATATTATTAGTGAGAAAATAAAACAATAAAGCCCAGAAAACTCTTCATAAACATCATTATGTATTTCATGAACAGATCATTTCAGGTATACAGTATTTGCATTCTTTTGGTTGTTGTATTTTGATGTGTTAATTGTTGCATTACAAATGCAATATTACATCACTATAATCATTCTACTAAATGGCATGCTGTCAATTTGCATGATTTTTCTGCTACTGCTCACGTGGCAGGGGCTATAGAGTGTTGTGTTCTTTTATTCCAGGAAAGACAAACAACTTCTAAGTTCAACTATTTATTAAAAGAGAGCAAAATATATATTTACTTGGCCAAGGTAACGGAGTTCAGGTCATAGAAATCACAGGCAGCAGAGCTGTAATCTGTAACTCTATTTACGGAAAAAGCCTTGAACTTCGTGCGCACATACGTTTTATTATTCAGGGTGCTGCCCGTACATTTATGATTGGTTGAGACTAGAAAGGGAGGACCGTGGTTTAGACTTTGGCCTCCCTTGTTGGTGCACAGACTTAGACAAAGTCTCTTGGCAACACAAACTCCAATCAGCATTCGGCCGGCCTG